GCTGAAGGCACTCGCTGAAGCGTGTAAAATGGCTTCTGGTAAGACTGCTAATATTTATACAGACTCTCGCTATGCTTTCGGTATAGCCCATGATTTTGACCCTATATGACGGGATCGTGATTTTCTCATATCAGCAGGAACTCCAATCAAGAACTCTGAAGCCATGAGTGCACTTATGGACGCTATCCTGCTACCCACTCAAGTAGGCATCATCAAGGTGGCAGCTTACGTGAAGATCACAGATGAAATCTCAAGAGGAAAGCACAAGGCAGACGAAGCTGCCAAGCAAGCAGCAACTCAAGTTCATCCCTCTACAGGTAATACCTTCCTACAAGTTGTTCTTACAGATGACGCCGTTGACTACAATTTCCAAATTTGAAAGCTTGCAAGCCACTCCATTTATATTGCTTGTCAAATTTTGACAGCTGGTGTCTTAAGGCATCATCCAGCATGATTCAGAATAGATACCTATGTAAATTTAATATACTCATACTAGAAAATGTCAGTAATCTTGCTGTCAGCCCTCTATTTCACACTGTTTTGGACAGTTTTGTATTCTTATTCAGGTGTGGGAATAGATTAGTGATGTTGCACTAATGTGATTCTTAGCAAACAAGGCAGAATAAGATGATGTTGACAGCAGTTCTGATGCCAAATTGCAAGGTAAGTACCAATTATGCTATGGCAAATTTTACATCTTAGGTATGTTGTGTGTGATGTATAATTGCTAATGCAAGAAAACAAAAAAAAAACACACGGTAGATAGGTCTGCCTTGCACTATAAGAATGCACCGTTATTGGTTTGTGAAACATAAGGTTCTAGTTTTTTTTGTGCATCTTAACAAACCTCTGGCTAATGTATTTGTAATAATCGATATGTTTTATATGGATTAGACATGTATTTTTCTCTCTTGTTTTAAAGTAGGTGGTGATAATATTATTAATTATATCACTAGTATTTATTTTAATGACGGCATGAAGATGAAACACTGAGATGACGCTACTGGGAATGGAAAATCATGGTATGATCAGTTATTTTAGTTGGTGACATTTATCAACTGACTTATCATTTTGTGTATTTCAGCCAAATGTAGTTTTGATGACTTAAAGCGACACTATAGTCACCAAAATAACTTTAGCTTAATGAAGCAGATTTGGTGTATAGATCATGCCCCATGTACTGTTCAATGTACTGCTCACTGCTCAATTCTCTGCTATTTAGGAGTTAAATCACTTGTTCAGTCCTAGCCACACCTCCCCTGCCTGTGACTGACACAGCCTGCAAGTAAACATTGTCTAATTTTTATTTAGACGTTAATTTGTCTTAGAAATGTTTATCTCCTGCTCTGTAAATTGAACTTTAATTACACACTTGAGGCTACTGTAGGGTCTAGAAAACTATTAACAGTGCAGGAGATAAGAAATTCTAAATTTAACAGACTGTACAATAAAGGTGTAAACATTAGATATTTATTTACAGGACGTGTTTAGGAAGGCTGTGTAAGTCACATTCAGTGAGGTGTGACTCAGACTGTATAAACAAAGTGATTTAACTCGTAAATAGCAGCGAATTGAGTCGTGAGACAGCAGGGACATGATTTACACACTAAAACTGCTTCATTTAGGTAAAGATGTTTTGCTGCATATAGTGTCCCTATAACTTATTATCACTCTTATTTTTACTACTATTATTTTACCACATTTTTGTTAGTAATTACACAGAACAGAACTTCAATTAACTTTTTTGCAAAATAGAAAGGATGAAGATTATTTTGTTCCTTGTTTCTGCAATAGGTATAGAAATCTTTGAAGCTTTTATTTTATATTTTGTCTGCTCTTACCAATCTATATAAGCATACCAATACCCATGTAAGCATTCGTTTTTATTTATTTTTTGTCTTCTGCTTACTGTCAACTATATAAAAACTTAGAAAAAAGAACAGTTTTGTTCTTGTTGTTTAGAACTTTTTTTTTTTTTCATCAATGCTTTACAATGCCAGCCAATGTGCTATGTAAGTCACTTATGAGCACCAACCAATGGCACATTAAACTGTGGAGAAAAATGATGAAATATTATAAATCTTTGTGTTTTGTTCAGTCTGAATTTTACTGAGACATGTTTCCCACAGTGCTATAGAAAGTCTAGATCTCCTCTGTTCATATCTCCTAAGTATATGGGAATTTTCTCAGTGGGAGATTGCTCAAAATGTAGACTTCATGCATGGTTTGTAGCACTATTCTAGGGTGTATAAATATTGGTTTCAATACAAAGCTCTTTGTAAAAAACTAGAACATATTGAAAAGTGTTTTAAAACCACTTAATGTTGTTAACATAATCACAATTCAGCTAAAGTAGCACAAGTATCAATATAAATTCTAGATCTGGCTGTTTGGAG